CACACTTAACTCTTTTAAGTGAATTTGAAGATAAGCATGATGTATTACAGAGTGGCTTTTGGTTCATTTTATTGTGCTGGAGTCTTCAGAGGCTAAATTGTTGTTTTGTGATCCACGTATAATGTATTTCAGGTGCAATGGGATGAACCATCATCAATTATACGCCCTGATAGAGTCTCACCTTGGGAATTAGAGCCACTTTTGGCCACCGCTCCTGCGAATGTTCCAACCAATGCAAAGAAATAAGAGGCCCCGGCTTCCTGTTATTCCTCCAACAGTACCCGATTCTTCTTTGCATGGTACGCTGGTCTTGGACTATTTCTTTATGCCAAAAGTGTTATCCGTGTTCTACATATTTTTTTTTTTGGACTTCAGGGGCGTGGAAACCATCAAATGAATCCCCTTCCTTCTTTCGTGACTCACAACATGGACAGGATCTCTATCAATCATCTAAGTTCAATTCTTCTGCAACTAACTTTCTTGGTTTTGATGGGAACAAATCTAGGGGGACTGTTTCCGCCAATTCCATATATTGGTCTGACAGGATCGAGAACTCTACAGAGCATTTTTCACCTTTAGCTTTTAAAGAATCTGGTGAAAAGAAACAAGGGACTGGAAATGGCTGTAGGCTCTTTGGGATTCAGCTACTTGAGAATTCCAATGTTGAAGAAAGTATGCCGAGAGTCACTATGTCAGAGAGGGTGGGGGATGATAAGTCAGTTCCATGTGTGGATGCTGAGCCTGACCAGCTTTCTGAGCCATCAAATGTCAATGGATCTTATATCCCATCAGTGAGTTGTGATGCTGACAAATCAAGTCTTCAGGCTCCTCAAGAATCACAAAGCAGGCAAATAAGGAGCTGCACTAAGGTAAGTATGCTATCATAAATATATATCATTTTGTGATCAATATATTGTAGCATGTTTTAGTTTCTATTTTTCTCACTGATATACAATGTCTTTGGTATTTTTCTATGTTCCAGAATCCTGATTATGGTCTTGTACAATTTCCTAATGTGCTGATAGAATCCAAAATTATTATCCACAATTTTCTCTATTATTTGATGTTGGTTGTCTTGCATTTAAAAAACAGAAATTCTTTTGCAGTGTTTCAAGTGTTATTATTATATATATGGGGTCAAAAGGCTTCTGTTTTTTTTTTTTGGATGCTATTAACAAATAAAATTGTACTTTTCATCTTGCCACTCTTGGTTTGATAAAGCAATTTGGCATTTTCTGTCCACTAATATTTGTTTCTACATGGCATAATGTGGATATTTATTTCTATGTCCAGGTTCACATGCAAGGAATGGCTGTTGGTAGGGCTGTGGATTTGTCACGGTTTGATGGATATGAGGATCTGCTTAAAAAATTGGAGGAAATGTTTGACATCAAGGGCGAGTTGGATAAATCCGTGAAGAAATGGCAGGTTGTCTATACTGATAATGAAGATGATATGATGATGGTTGGAGATGATCCATGGCAGTAAGTTCATTTGATGCTAGCAGTTGCCTTGATTCTTTCTTTTTTTTTTTTCTTGGTTGCATTTTCCTTTTTGCAATTCTGATGGACATAAATAAATATTATCTGATCATCGTGTGATCAATAAGCTGTGCAATTTCTTGAAAATTGCGGGCTTCATATTTTTAATCATAAATATCAGATACTTTGTTAGTATGTGTATGTCAATGAATATTTAATTCTTTCTATTTTGCTGTAGTGAGTTCTGCACTGTGGTGAGGAAAATATTCATCTACACACCAGAGGAGGTGAAGAAGCTCTCACCGAAAGTAGGGCTTCCAATCAATGAAGAAGTTAAGCCAAGCAAGGTGGATTCTGAAGCTGCAGTCAATAGTGAGGACCAGTCATCCACGGTGGGGCATAGCTGCTGATACTTTTGGGCCTTCTGGCATGCCCTAGCTGGTTTATACAATAAAGTAGAAATTAGAATGTTGAAAGATTCGAGAAAGGATTCTCCTAGCGGTTGACCGTCGGCTCCGTGTCTATTGTTCATCTATGGTGGCATTGCATAACCTTGTGACTAGCAGCATGGAAACACTGACCTGGAGGGCTGGCTTTTTAGTGTAATGCTGTTTGATCTGGTTCTTGAAGATAGGATTTCCTTTATTGTGGGCGTCGTCGTTTTTTTTTTTTTTTTTCCCTGCTTGTGGACATGGCTTGTTCAGTTTTGAATCAGCCACAAGCATGGGGAAATGTGTTGTCTTTGCTCATTTATCTTGCTGGGTATGGTCTTTTTTTTGCCCCCCCTTTTTTTTTCTCCCCTTCGTTGCAATTCCCTTGATGTAATGTTGCTTTTTCATTGTGTATATAGTTTTTTTTTTTTTTTTATAAATGAATACTGCTTTTAATATATGTATATGAAGCCATTTTTCCATGAATAGCAGATGTGCACAATCTTGTCTGCGGATTGACATTATAAATATCATGTCATAGCTGGCCTTCTGTTGGGCTCATGTGCTTATGATTTCTCGATGCTCTTTGCATTCATGTGCCTTGTTGGCGTATTAACTGTTGTCTCCTAATTTTTACTTTCTATCAAATAATTGAAACATTCTTGCAGGAATCGTGGGACTGTTGTCTCATAATGAGTTTTTTTGATTTCCGAATAACCCTTGTCTTGACAAAATTTAGCATCTGGTCCAACTCTCTTTTTTAATTTCATGTTTCAAGCTATTTTTATTTTTAGTAGCTTGATATTATTCTTGGTTTATGAGATTGGTTGGTGAGAGTCCACTGTCTTTATATATGTACAGTACATATATTTTGAAATAAGATGAATCTGTTATAAATATTGTAATATTATGAATGTTCACAACTTTTTAATGAGTCGTCTTTTAAAATTCTGAATTTAAAGTTTTGTAACCTACATGTATGGCTTTTTGAAAGTTTTCTATGATTATGTAAATGTAATTTATTTTACAAATTGAAAATTTATTCTTTTGTAGCTCTTTACATATATTTTAAGGATTTATTGCCTATAAATATTGGACATGTATCAAGTAATTATAAGTTTAAAATAAGTAAGAATCACTCCCTACTTTCCCTATCAGTTATCTCGTTTTGTTCATTTTTCTGATCTCAAATTTCTTGTGTTTTTTCCTAGTTTCATAATAGACTCAGAATCAAGTTTAGGATGTTTTATGATATCAAGAGTATCAAATTATTCAAAATTTGGCCAATCTAAGGAAAAAATAAAAACTTCTCATGGGTTGCTCTAAATGACAGATTCATAGAAATTTTCTGTTGCACAAAATTAATTGAATGTGTCACTCTGATACCTTATATGGGGAAAACGGATTAGGACAAAGAATATCGACTTTCTGTTTATTTACTACGTGGTCATATCACAATGCTGGTTTCCTTATTCAACCCAAGATGTTCATTTCTAAAATTTGGATTTGCCTTTTCTTTTCTTTGTTTCTTTTTTCTTTTTAACAATTTATAAACATAAGATTTAGAGGGGAGATAATACAAAGTATGGGACTCCCTCAACAATAAAGAGAATGGGAATAAATGGAGACCATACCCTGGGGCTCATGAAGTATGAAATTTAGTTTTCCTTCTCAGAACCATTTGTTTGTTGTTTATAATAATTTAAATATTAATTTTATTTTTTTTTAAGAGAAAAAAACCTTAGTTGAATTGGGTATTGAGAATTTATCAAAGATTAGAACATGCTCTCAGGCATAAAAAATGCACCTAATGAAGTACTTACAAGTTGCTCACTAATAAAGTCTTTACATGAACAACAAAATTTAAATGCATATCTTGTAAATTATAAATCAAATCTTTTTGTTAGCTCAATTTTTTCTTCTCAACATAATTATTATTGGTGATCAATACAAAAGTATCATGTCACTCTAAACAATCACAGACTTCTATTTTACCTCAAAAATCTTAAAAAATATCATTTTATCGATAGATTTGAATTGATTCAGATGAGGGCAAAGTGGTACGTATAAATGTATAAACATTGAAAGCATAGTGTATTGCATATTCTTATTTTTTTTATTTGCATATTCAATACAAATACTGAAATTCATATACAAATTACATAAACCCCGACACATCATGTTGATCCGCTAAATGAGTCGCCACATGAACCAATAAACTACACTCGGTTATCATGCCCAAGAGCTCTGAGGAGTGAGGACAAGCAAACAAAATGATGAAAGAAATTGGAATAGGGATTCTAATCCCATGGCGTCATGGGATGATCAAGTTGATAAGCCGATTGTATTTCCATCATAATATAGAAAACGAAGGAAATGCAAAAAGAAGAATAAAAAATAATAAAACCTGGACTCCCTTAAATTTATTTGAATTATCAATTTAATTCTTGAACTTTAATTTTATCAATCAAAACCTTAAAATCTCATGAATAGTCATAGCAATCATATTAGTTTAAAATTATTCTATAATTTGAATCAATATCAACGTCGTTTTCCCCACAAACATGAGGAAACAAGATTTGTAAGGAAATATTAGAAGAAATACGAACATTAGAAACTCAAACAAACGTGTAGAGTTTTTCTTTCTTTCGAATAAAAATTAACTTCCTCAGGTCTAACACTTGACGAACGCATAATTTCCATTTTGTTATTAAGTCACTGAATAACAGATATCTTGCTAAGTACTAACAGATTCATTAGCAGAACACTATCATATACTTTAAATATGTGAAGTCAGCTTTCTCTCTTTTTTAATTTCATCTCAAATTTTTAACTAAATTAAGAATGTAATAACCAAGACAATCAATCAGGAAGATAGTGTAGAAAAGACATTTTTTACAAAATAAACATCCATAATGTTCGAAATTCACACAATTTCAAGAGAATTAATAGATAATGAACTTCATCAAAATAGGACAGCTTATTAAATATTTCATTACATTACAGCTTCACTAGTTCATTAAAAACCAAAGTAAATAAATAAATAAATAAATTTAAGAAAAAATAAAAATACAAAGAATATGCTACGTAACACTGAACAGCACTAGCAAGAAAGCGCAGAGTGCATTTTATTAATAAATGATCTATTATCAAATCAGTATTTCGCGCGCTCGCGCGCGCACACACATCTTGATTAAGTTTGGAACTAAAGATGCCAGCTCCTTTCTTAGTTTTGGCACCACGTGATATAATACAATGGTTCTACGCATCTATCACGTGAGTTCACAAAGTTGAGCACCAAAGTACAAATAAAAGCTTTTACCTTACAGAAAACCTTAACCTTCCAAAGCGAGTTGGTGAGAATCAAACTTTGGCTAGAGAGGCCTGAATCAAACATCAATAATCTGGAAGCTTCAAGAGACCCATGATAACTCCACTAATTAAAATCAAGTTTCTCGAGTTTCCACGGTCCAAAAGAAATGAAAAATTCCAGGAAAGATGGGAACCTTGGGAAAAGATGATCACGAACTGAAATTCCAAACACCAGATTGTTCCATCCTCTAGTAAATTAGCCACGTTGACACTAAAATGCAATTCTGGGGTCACAAATTACAATGTCCTTTCACAGCCATCGTGTCAACCAATCACTGCCATCATCAGCATTACTAACCATCTCTCAACATGCTCATCCGAATCCAGAGTTCAAAATATTACGATGTTTGTCCCCTTGCTGTCTGTATAAAACCCGATTCCTTTTCGATCCTAGTGAACATTCTTGTCATCTTGATCATCATGGGACTCCAACTTCTTTTGTTTTTAACTCTTCCTCTTTTCATGGTGATGTTCTTGTCTGTCCTCCATTGACCAGTCTCTGTTGACTTCATTTCTGTGTTCATAATCTTCATAATCATCCTGAGAACCAGATCTCCTGTGTTTGGAGCTTTTCCTAGAAGAATGACGTTGAGTTTGTGTGTCTCCATCTCCATCAAATAAACAAGCGTCAGATTCAGTATCACTAGTTGCATATCTGTAGTCCCTGCTCCTATGTCTAGAGCTTCTGCTTTTGCTATGCCATTTCCTATCTCTATTCCTATCTGACCAATCCCCACGTCCAGCCTCATCATTGTTTCTATTCATTTTTCTTGAGCTCCTTCTTTCACTACTATGCTGTTTTTTCCAGTTCTCAGGTACAGCATCTGAATCAACATCAGAATACCCCTCACGGTTTCTTCTCTCATCACCCTCATTACGATTAGTTGCGCATTTTCTATGGTGCTGACAGTGTTTTTTTCTGTCCCCAGGTTCCGCATCTGAATCCACATCAGAATACCCTTCATCGCTTCTCCTCTCATCGCCCTTGTTCCTAGTAATTGAGCAATTTCTACGGTGTTGATGGTGTTTTCTGTCCCTAGGTGTCGCATCTGAATCTTCACCAGAATACCCTTCATGGCTTCTTCTCTCATCACCCTCGTTCCTGTTAGTTGAGCGTTTTCTATGGTGTTGATGCTGGTTTTTACTGTCCCCATGCATCACATCATGATACCCTTCATGGCTCCTCTCCTCATCCTTGTTCCTATTAACTGAGCTTCTTCTATGGCGTTTATGGTGTTTATGGCGTTTTTCCTTATCTGACCATTCTCTATCAGAGTCAGAATCAGAAGTTCCACCTTTCCCGTTATGGTAGTCTTTCAAGTTGATATTTTGTTCATATATTTCCTCATTGGGAGTTCTGCTCTGATTTCGTTCGTTCCTATGTTTTCTTCTTCTACCTGAACCACTGTTATTGAACTCACCAATCTCCCTTGATCTTCTTGAACGGTACCTGTAAGAGATGGGATACAGCAAAGGCCAGTATAAATCGCATGCTTTAATCGAAGAAATGCTGACAAAATTCAACTCAATATAACACATCAAAAAGGCAATGCAAATTAACGTCACTGCTACAAAACTACTCCTGATACATATCCTGCTCAATATATACAAGTATATATAGGCTGCAAATATAAGTTATTTCCCTTAAAAGACATGCAGACTGTGTTTGGTGCAGAACGTGTAAAAGCCAAGATGTATAATACTACCTGTGAAACTTTTTCTTGGATTTCACAAATAAATTCAAGACAATTTCTTTAATTGGGAGCTTGATCTTGTTCACATGATTTGAAACCAAGCGGGTTGAGAATCTTGTCAACAAGACAGTCACCATTATCAAACCCTTTCCTTTTTCGGATAAGAGAATTATTAAACCCCTTTTACTCAAATGTTCTTCCATCATGACAAAATCATTACAATATTTGCATAATTTGCATCCATCAAATTATCTTTTTTTCCCCATTCAACCATTGAATTCATAACATCTTGAGAAACTGAGAATGAGAAGTTTGCAAGGCTTTTTATTCTTGTACCCCTTGTTGACAACAGACCTTCTCCACATACCCTCTAAGAAAGTTGGACGTTCCGCAGGCCATTTAAATGTTGATAAAGACCTTAAAAGGGTCTATTATTTAAACAGATTGTGGAGGGGAAACTAGTGTATGAATTGGTGCAATCATCTAATGAGATTTATAGCACTCCACTTAATAGCTTGGATTAGATGGTAACACATACATTAATAAGCATCAAAGCATCACAAGAGTGGAAATTAATAAGCCAGATAATATATAGGGTAAAGGTGCATTTTTGCACTTGAAATATTCTCTGAGAAGCACCTAGCACCCTAAACTATTTGGTGTAGCATTTTTGCCCATAAAGTAATTAAAATGTAGTATTTTCTACCCCAATGTTAAATAACAGACGTTGACCATTAATATGATGTGAGATGAAGGTAGTTTGACCAACAAACGGATGTTTGTGAGTATTTAACATTAGAGTAAGGAATGCTATGTTTTAACTATTTTAAGGGCAAAAATGCTACACCAAATAGTTTAGTGCTGCATGCTCTTCACAAAATACTTCAGGGGCAAAAATACACCTTCACCCTGATATATATTGAGAAAAAGTGGTATGATAGGGGGGAAATAATAAGAATTGAAAGCACACCTATCTGAATCTGCTTTTTGTTTCTTGCTTGAGTTCTTCAGTGCACTCAAAGCATCTTGCTCCATCAATTTCTCATGTTCATCAGAATAACCAAATAAAGCTGCCATCTTTTTCACCCAATACTTTGGGGGTGGTTTGTCAGAGTCAGCCCATGCATAATCTCCTCCAGGATTACGAAAACAGTGGATAAAATTGCAAGCTGATCCGTGAGAACAAGTCTGTTAAGGTACATAAGAAAAAAAAGATCAGATTACCATCAATGCAAGTGTATTACTGTATGATGTAGGACCAACAACATGCATCAGCAAAAGTGGGAGAGAGGAGAATTAAAGGGAAGGACAAAAGTAAGGAAGGATAAGTAGAAAAAAGAAAATATTATAACTCGAAGTCTTCACAAATAGTTAAATGTACGACATCCTAACAAATTAACGATGTTAGAACATATTAAGATAAAATACATCAAAGGAAACTAATTGTAATCTTAAATTAATATTAATTAAAATAATGCTTGTCTTATCGGAAATCTCATTTCTTATATTTATCAAGAATTTTTAAGTTACAAATAATTAACGCTACTTTTCCTAATCTATTTTTACCCTCCATTACTTAACCTAAGATGGTTTTTATCAATCTCAAACATTTTTCGCCCCATCATTCAGTGTAAACTACAAAGAACAAAAATAATATGCTTGGCAGCAACTCCTGTAGCCAAAAGAAAAATTAATGTACTTGACATGACCATAACTGCACCTTGAACCCTGACTTCATATACTCCCCACATATTGCAACCTTCCATCTAGTCACATTTACAAATTCACACCTTATCTGCCAGGAAAAACAAACAGGTCCATAAACAAACAAAAAAAAAATGTCAGGAAACTCAACTATTCGCATTTAACCATACAAAGCCCAAAAAGATATATCTGGTGAGTAGATATCCCAACTTACCAAGTAACTGGCAACAAATGGGAAACTAATAGATTATTAGACATGGCAGAAGTGAAATCCTATGATAGACCAAAGGCATATAAGCTATAATCACATTTAAAAATTCTCATGATGTATGCTTCAGAGAGGGATGCAAACCTGTTTTCCAGCAAAGTAACGACTACTGATTGAGTTATATGCAAGGACAGCAGAATCCATTGATTTATAATGCACATAGACGTTCCCTCGCAAGTGAAAGGAGCCATTTTTACACACCTGCCAGAGATAAATAGAAGAACTGCACTGAGATTGCATGAAATTATGTAAGCAAGAGATAAGGTAAAACCAGGAAAGGGAAGCAGCCCAAATTCTTCAAATTGTTATTTTTGGAACATATGCTACACATTTTTGCTGCAATTATAATTTTCCCTTTTGCTTCCCAAATAACAAAATTGAAAACCCCTTTTAGACTTCAGGGGCCTTTACAGCAGAGTGGATTATGTCAAAAAAGAAAGAAGAAAGAAAGAAAGACAGAAGCGAAAAGAAAAACGGAAGGGGGTAAGAGTGGGTAAGAAAGTGAGAAACTGCTACATACAAAAATCACAGCAGTTTCAATAGAGATAGAAAAAAAAAAAGGTACAATAAATTAATGCCAAATTTAATGAGGCAAAAATTACAGTCAAATTTGTGCGTGTAACTGCTGTCAAGAGTTATTAAAAATTTAGCAGTGATTAAGAAAAGAATTGCTAACAGTGCACCCATTATGAGACGACGACGACAAACCATTGCCAACTAACTGGGATTAGGCACATGGATTGCACGATCCCATTGTACTCCATCAACAACTAAACCTTTGGGTTGTTAACCAAAAGGTGCACTTAGTACAAGAGCTATAAAGTATTTTCTTGCAAGTTAAAAAAGAGTTATAGTAGAGCATTTTTTTTTTTTTTTGGGAATAATCATAATGCTAGACAACAATGAATAAAAGAGTTAGATTGGTCAGTTTAATATAACATACACAACATCAAGCTTTTCAGTAATATTTTTGGGTCTTTTTCTTTACACCCCAACTGTGGCTCTCTTTGTTTTCTATACAACCATGCATATGGATTCTTGCTAAAATACAGAATTAATATCAATATCAATACATAATATAAAATTTATAACAAGCCGTAGTATTCATAAAGCATAAACAGTGCATCTTATTCTCCAGATTTTATGCGATGCATGAAAAAGCATGTCTAGCATGATATTAAGTGAGAAGCAGTTTCACATCTTTAGGGAATACAAACACAAAACATGCAGTAAAAATTGACCTTAAAGTTCACAATTTCTCCAAACTTCAGGAACTCTGTGTGAACATCCTCATAAAATTCTTCAAAACTACGTTCCACCTCTTCATCTGTATACTGAAAAGAGGTAAACAAGTCAAACAAAAAGAAAGAAGTCAGAAAAGCACAGCTAATGGAAGGCAGACTTTAATTCCAAATCCTAACCAATCCAATTGAATATTCGGGAGAAAAAAAAAGTTGGAGAGCAATAAACAGGCAGTTTAAAGCCACAGTTTGAAGCTTCAGCTTTAGAATAATTACAACTTTGTGGGCGACAACTCTGCTGAAAGCTTGGGCAACATGTTTCATATTGATATGGATGATATTATATGATCAAATGATAACAAATGAAATGGTAAGTTATGAGTAGCATCCCCCTCACACCAAAACAGAAAAATGTTTCGGTGACATCTTTTAAGAATCACTAAGTGCATCCATGTTTTTTTTGGTCACCTGCATACCAACCCTTAGGATGAAATAACATTAATCTGGAACACAGCTCCACAACTCACGACTTGGATGTTGCCTGACAACTACTCAGGGTTAAGGAGATCTCTTGTAAATTATTAGTTTATGATATTCAAAATTATGTGATAAATCTTAAAAAATTTATCTGGACACCACGCATGCATGTTCCATATGAAATGCTACATTGACATGAAAGTAATTGAACCATTGAGAAATACCAATTTTTCTTTTCAAATATGAGAAGCCACGTACAAGTCATTAATACAAGGATGATATACTATTTTTTTTTTTAAGCAAAAGAATTCAATTAGAATATTGGAAAATGTAGAAACAGGAAAAAAATAACAAAGAGAAGTCAAACAAATATCATAAAAAAGAAGAGCAAGAGAACTATAAATCACAATAACTAATACAAGGACAGGGTCAACATGTGGTAGATATTCCCAGGCTTAGCAAGTAGGATACAACATCTATGAACTTTAACTTCAATCAACCCTGGCCAAAATCATGAACCTCCACCAAAAGGAGTCTTGCAATCTATCTCTGATTATGATTGAGTCAAAGAACAGAGATAACTCTAAAAATAAAAGAATAAAAAATAATACATTCCTGACAAAAAAGAGACACATCATATGCAGCATCTATATGAAGAATTTTGTTGTTGAATATTGAAAAATAAAGAAGAGTGAATTCCAGGCCACCAAATTACACCAAACTTCTGAACAAGAATGGTGGGGGAGGATGTGACATGTAGCAACGTTAAAATCAGTGTTGAATAATTGACCAATTTGAATTGGAATTCATTTCTAATTATATCATAATTTCACTAGAAATAACAAAATAACCTGTAGCGCCTTAATGAGGCATATGCAACCAAAAAAAAAAAAAAGAGTTAAGTTTCACATGCACAAGTAAACAAATATATATTTAATAATCCTAAATACAGATAACCTGTTTCAAGCTATTGATATTATGTTCTAATAGATGAACTGCATTTAGACCAAAAAGAGTATTCTATTGTTCAAACATCAAAGCATGCCCATAGAGTGAGTAACGATATTAATAGAATAAATCTGCAAAAGATATTTGGAACTTTTATTAGGATACAATGAACCGTTAAAGCAGCATTAACAGACCTCAAGCCCCTCATCTTGCTCCCAAACAAGGCCAGGACCAGTATACATGTTTTTAATAAGAAGTGTGTTTGATTTATCAGGGTAAAAATGGACTCTGCTACAGCGTTGACCAAATCGACATGCTCCAGTTTTTAAATGAAAGGGACAGTGAGCTTTATCCTGCCATACACAAGAAGACACAGTAAAAATTTAGGAAATATAACCCCTAACAAGCACATTAAGAAGACAATCGTAGTGGATATTGGCATAAAGTCACAGTTACTGGATACAACACATTTTTTGTATTATGTAATAAATCATATAAAAAATTATGTACAGGCCTAAAGAGGAAAGAAAAAGAAAAAACCTGTTCAGTTCCAAAATTTGGCACTTGTTGTGCAACACTCTCAAGAACTTGCTGTGCAGAAACTGCTGATGAATTCGTGTAATCAGCAAAAGCTTCAGATTCTGGAGGTAGAGGGTTTGATGTAGGTCTATCGGCATCCTGAAGAGCAAGCACAACCAACAAATGTACAATGATTTACCACAAAAGTAATAAAACTGATGACAAACCTAATTTGGTAAAAGAATGAGAAGATAAAAAGAACTACCTCCCTTTTAATTTGGTGGAGCGAATCCTTCTTGGGAATCCTCACTTTTTTCTTTTTAAAAATGATCTCATTTCCTTGCCAAATAATTTCAGCGGGCCCTTCCTCCACATATTCCCATTCATCATCCTCATCCAATTCAGTCTCCTTGTCTTGCTGTAGAACATATTTCTAAACTCATTTAAAATAGAAAGTTCACTGTGTATATATAGATGAACAAGTATTATTTGAATATGCATATGGTTAGAATCATAGTTTCCAACCTTAAACCAACAAATTCATGTGACGTTTTTCCGTGCAAACTCCCTCAACAAACAAAGGAAGTTCAATGCATAACAATGGCGTGCATTTTACAAAGGACACGTGAATAAAACTTATTAAAGACATAAATAAATAATCTTAGCTGAGAAACACAAAGAAAGATAGGAAAATTAAATTTCTTAAAGAAGGGAACAAGTCAAATCCCTCACAAACCTGTTGCTTCTGAGTGTCTTCGAGAAGCTTCCTCTGCTCTTCTTCCGCCGCCTCCTTCATCTTCTTCTCCATAGCCTCGATCCAGGCCCTCTCTCTTTCCTCAAACAGCTTCCTTTCCCTCTCAATCCTCGCGGCCTCTTCCTGCTCCATCTGTAGTGCTCTTTTCTGCTCCTCGGGATCGTTAAGCCGAGCCTCCTCTTCCTCGCGCTCCCTCGCTGCTATCTCCATCCTCATTTGCTTCCGCTTCAATTTCTTGATCGCCTTCCTCTTCTCCTTCCGATTCATGCCTACCGATAACGCAACCTTCTCATCTTCATCGTTGTTTTCAATGCGCAAAGGCCTCTCTTCTCCCTCTTCCACCTTCGGTGATTCTTCCATGGCGTCTTTCTCTTCCAAGCACTCTACAGTGTTAACCTTTTCCCTTCTACGCGCATCGAATACTGATCAGCAATGTTTTCCGAAGAGGAAGTGTACAGAGAGAGTCTTGTTACAAGGATTTGGCACTTAATATCACGCATGTGGCTCGTGGACTTGTGGAGGTTGTTTATTGTTACTTTTTAAATTTTACTCCATTGTAAATTTAATTTTATAATCATCGTACATCTTTTTATATTTTTAATGGGAATAACATTAAAAAAATTTATTTCAAAACATATTTAATAAAGTAATTATCATTTCTAAATAGCGGAAGAATAATTAGATATAATATCTAAATACTTTACATCTCTTTTACTTTTTTTGGCAACACAAAAAGGAGATTCCTTTAAAACAACAAAAGATCCAAATTATATCCAAAACAAATGAAAGTAAATGACTAGAAAAACAAAAACAACACCAAATTATTTGAAATCTTGAAAGCCAGTATGATCGATCTCCTGCAAAATTTTGAAAAGGAATTGGGGTTTAACAACCCTATCCGACACAATTCTTTTAACAAACCCTTAACAATTCAATTAGTCATTGCATTAGTTTCCTTGAAAACATAAAAGAAATGACAATTCCGTAAAAGATTCCTATTAAAGAGGATATTTTTAAAGATAGCAGGGCATCTTCAATTACCAGGAGTACATTATTCTTGAATTAGATTCAAAACAAAACTTATCAAGGTTATGATTGATAGCCTAATCAAGCACTCATTCCATTGTTAAAAATTTCACCTCCAAAGGTTGAAGCCTCTCGTTTAACATGCCAATCATAAAAAAAAAAAAAAAAATCATCCATTACGATCCCTATCACTGAGAAGGAAGAGAATAGCAACACCCTTATCATCTACAAAGGCACAATGAGACTTGATTTTTAATTCATTATTGAGGGAAAATGATAATTAAGGACTCCCTAAAGATATTAATCCCAGTTGAGGACCATAAAATATAGAAATCTCAATTAAAGATGGGATAAAAAACAAAGCCAACTTTACAAAATTGTTTTTTCACTAAACACTAAAAGGTAACAGGAAAAAAGCTAATCTCATGTCCTTTGTTTTCTTGTTTTTGAGCATGAAAAATTCTAATATGATGTGCTCTCGTATGGGAAATTGTTGGGGAAAAATTAGTGGAGCGTATCATCACTTGGGTCATCATCTTGTCTTCTCTTCTATAGGTAATTGCATGCATTGTTTCTTTTATATTTTGTCTTCTGTCATATAGGTACACAAAGAATGTTTAAATCTTTGTAAATACTGTCTTACACCATTTCTATTTCTTTTATACCTAAGAGAAAAAGTAATCTTTTTGATGATTAATAAATTATATATATAGACACACACAATAAATTATTTCTAAGAACGATGCTATTGAAAAAATTGAGTGAAAAACAAGAAATATGTAACATGGATGTTGGATTTTTTTGATTTGTGATGAAAAGTGCGTTAATGTTAAAAAATGCAATATAGATGCTGAATTGTTGTAATCATGGTTGGGATTATAGAAAGGATAATTATGAAGTAATAAATTTTTATGTTGCTTCTAGTTGTTCCAGGTTTATTTCTCATATGACAAGTATTTCAGCAAAAAAAGTATCTTGTTATTTTCATATTAAAGGACATTTTGTAAGAGATTTACAAGGTAAGATGACCTATGAAGGTGGAAGATTAATTTCTAAATTAATTAGAGAAAGTATAAATCATGAAGAGTTATTGAAGATGGTGTCATTAATGATAGGAGTTGAAAGTAGTATAGTTGACTAGAAATTTACAGTGAAGTTTAGTGAAAACACATATATAGATCTGTTAGATGATGAGAGAGTACAACATTTGATAAAATATAATGATAAATCAGTACACGTGTATGTTAAGAGAAATGATAATGAAATACATGGAGCAATGGATTATTCAATGGAATAAGTCGTTGTTCTTAGTTATTTGTGTTTTTAATTAGTTTAATCACCATTTATATTGACCTATGAGTAATTCTGAATGCAGGATGGAAGATTTCTTACCATGGTCATTGCTAGGATCTCCTTGTAGGCAAGAGTTTAAAAGTATATCACCCTATTTGTCATGTTCAACACAAAATGCTCTTACACCATTTCCTAAGGTTAATTCGATAAATTGGAAAGATTTATTTATAGGTGTTGGCCAGACATTTAATGATGCAATTGTATTCACTTGAGAATTCCCTAATCTAACTTGGGAAAATACCAAAACATAGGTTTTGAAAGTGCCTAACGTGACTTGAGAATTCTTTATTGAAGGAGAAGTCACTTGTGACAAATTGAGATCCAACAACCTTACTTGGGAATTCCCTAATCTAACTTGGGAAAATGCCAAACGTAGGTTTTGAAAGTTCCTAATGTGACTTGGGAAATCTTTGTTTAAGGAGAAATCACTTGTCACAAATTGAGATCCAGTAACTTCATTTGGGAATTTTCTAACCTAACTTTGAAAAATGTTGAATGTATGTTTTGAAATTGCCTGATTGGGAATTACTAACGTCACCTGAGAATTAACTAATGCAACTTGGCAATCTAGTAACGTGGGTCAATAAAAATTAAGAATGGCTTGTCAAATTTCTTGTACATTTAGCCAAAGTTTTTTTGAATTAATTGCTATATCATATACATTAATCCATAGAAAATACTTAATCACATAAAGATGTAATTTACATCATACATATAACCAAAACATAACTTGTGCAAGTCCATATCACAATTATCTAATATATGATTTCAATTTTTTAGATCCTTCATGCCTAGCATTTTGTTACTCACCGCAAGTGCACGGGTCGTAGCAAGTAATATAAAATGAATAAAGTATCGTTTCCTCAAGAATTTGTTTAAAAACTATAATCAAGCAAAAGACTAAGCAAATTTGATCAAGTTGAGCTGCAAATAGTGAGGGAAAAATGATTTTGCAAATAAAACTAACACTAAAAAATTAAAGAAAAGTGAGTGATTCACAAACTTCCAATATAATTTAGAACCTAAGATTATTTATCCACCTTACATTTCATAACACCAAAATTACTTCCTCTCATAAATTCTTTTAATGAAATAAGTGCTAATTTAGGGTTCTAAAATCTTGGACAAGCTCTCTCAAGTCATAGACAAGTGTTTAGTTAAATTAATTGCCCAATCTCTTGTTACAATTAATAAAACTTAATTTTAAACACCAACCCTAATGTAGCTATGCAAAGCTAGCAAGTATATCTCTATCTCACTAACAAAATCATCCATTCAACACGCAAATATCAAGTTCTTGCACAATATTACCCAAGTTCTACACTCAACCAGCCCTCTCAAGCATCAATTAAGTGAACCCAACATCTAAATGGTGGCCAATCACTTAGAAGCATTAAGGAAAGGGTAAAACAAACACATATATATCATTAATCACAAAAAGAGAGAGAAAAATAAGTTGTAATCCATACAAGGGTTCCAAATAATTTTAGAACAAAGAGTTTAGCTACTCATAATCATCCATAAGCTATAAATATACAAAATAAGTGGATCCATTTTAGATTACAAGAGAGGAAAGGAAGAGGAATAGAAAACCGAAGAAAATGAGCTCCAAATATCTTCAAAGCTTTAATCTCTTGATCCTAACTCTTCTAATGCCCAAACCCTAGTACAACCAAGCTTTAAATGTGTTTAAAAGTCTGAAGAATGCATTATAGGTCGAGCTCTCAGCATAATATGTCTTAGGCAACCAATTTTTAATAATGAAACATAGTATTTTTCTGATAGTGATAAAAGTCACGAACGAAAGTCACGACTTTGGAAGTTTTGCATTATTTTTGCAACTAACGAAAATCATTCATTTTGTGCTTGATTTCTTCATCCAAAAGCCTTTCAAAAATATCCACAAAACTTTAAAATGCTTCTAATTAAAATTTCAACCAAATAATATGAAATTAGCTAAACCCAAAACAAAATATACATTTTCCTAATTTAGGCAATAAAAACAACAATAATTGAGCTAAAATGGATTAGAATCTAAGAAAAATGTGATGAAATAACATGAACTTCTGAGGTTAACACATTGAAATAGATGTCATCATTTGAGACCCCACTTATTACGGTGGATGAGTCACCAGCCAATATAATAGCCTTACTCCTCTTTGACTCAATTGTTCCTACACAAGCAGATAAAGTTAACTAACAAGATAAAATTGTCACACATAAGAAATATATCTTAAACTTCATCAATTGTTCCTACCATTGTTAATGAAGGCTGGTAAGATTGTCCCCTTCCTCTCATGCAGTATTATTCTACTGTTTAAGAAAATGATGACATATATTCCATAATTAGATCTACACAAAAAATAAGCAACATAAATCTCTAAGCACTTAATAGGGAAATATATACATAATTACATGTACACTCCAATTTCATCTCTTTTACTCACGTCATCGATTGCTATTCCATAAGCATTACTTAATTCTAGATCATAATTGTTATCAACAACTTCAAGTTTTAGTTTTATTAATATTTCAACAAACCTGTTTTTTTGAGAATAAAAACAAAGTGAATGAGAAGCTTTCGGAGCTTCTCAGTCACACTGAACCCTAAGACTCCTCACGCCGACGCCGTCACCTCACACAGCTCTCAACTCGGAGCTTCTCCCTCAGCCTCACGCCGACGCCTCACACAGCTCTCAACTCGGAGCTTCTCCCTCAGCCTCACGCCGACGCCAGATCCGTCGTCCTCGCCCTCGCTCCTTTGCCTCACAGAGTCACAATCACACAGTCACACCTTTTATTCTCGTTCGCTGAATCTGCTCGGATTTCCTTCTCTCCTTTTTCTCCGTCGCAGCTCGTCGGCCGTCGCAGCTCCCTTGATCGTCTGAATCTCTATCTCCTTCTTTTTCATCTTGCTCGTCTCCTTCCTCTCGTCCATACTCTGCTCTCCTTCAGATCTTCACGCCTCACGTCTCCTGGTCTCTGGCTCTCTGCTTCTTGAATCTTGTCTCTCCCTCTCGCTCATCTCGGCTTTCACAGGTTAGTTAATTTCTAACATATAATCAATTAATCACCCACCTGATTAACTTTGTTTAATTTTTTGACTTGGATTATATCATAGAAAATAATTTATTCACTTGATTAAATAACAATGTTGTCTATTTTGATTTGATATTGTGTCCTGATTTTTTGTAAAATGATGATATGATGCTGTTGGTCTGAGACTCTGAGTTTTGATGCATGATTTTTAATTTTGATAATATGGTTTATGTTTCTTTGCACAGTATGTCATCCTCTAGTGCCAAGAGTAATGAAACTAGTAAGAAGTCAGTTGAAGGGGATGGTAAAAGAGAATCAACTTCCACCCAATTTACTACATGTAGTCTAAAACCACCTAAGAAAGTAAAAGGTTTGACTTCAGACGTTTGGAAATCTTTTTCTAGGGTGGTTAATGAAGAGGGGGTAGCAAAGGCTAAGTGTAATGGTTGTGGCACTTTATTAGCATGTGGTGGAAATTACGGCACTTCACATTTAAGTCGTCATATTAAACAATGTGTAGCTCTTCCAAAGTTTCACAATGTAGGCTTGATGATGTTAGATAATCAAGGCAACATAAGATCTAGACAAATCAATAATTCACATATAAGGGAGTTGTTGGGGATGTTAATTGTTGCACATGATTTGCCATATTCTTTTGTTGAATTTCCTCTTCTTAAGGAGTTGCTTAAGGAATGTAATCCTGATGTTAAGCTTATGAGTAGAAAGACTGCTGTGTCAGATGTTAGAAGATTGTATGAGGTACAAAAAGACAAGTTAAAAGTGATGTGTTATCAAAGTGTCCTAGTAGAATATGTTTGACCTCTGATTGTTGGACTTCTGTAACATCTGAGGGTTATATTTGCTTAACAGCACATTTTGTGGATGAAAATTGGAAGCTTAATAGTAGGATACTTTCTTTTTGTAAAATGGAGCCTCCACATTCTGGACATGAATTAGCCAGTAAAGTTTTTGAGAGCTTAAGTGATTGGGGGATTGAAAAGAAAATTTTTACAATTACTTGGATAATGCATCTGCAAATGATTGTATGGCTGAGATCTTGAAAGAGAGGTTGATTTTGCAAAATAATTTGATTTGTGATGGGGAATTTTTTCATGTGAGGTGTTGTGCACATATCTTGAACTTGATAGTTCAAGAAGGTTTGAAGGTGACAAATGTTGCGATAAATAAAATTCGAGACAGCATTAAATATGTTAAGATGTCTGAGTCCAGGATGAAAATTTTCAAGCAATGTGTTGAGCAAGTTGGTGGTATTGACACCTCAATGGGATTGCGATTAGATGTGCCTACTAGATGGAATTCCACTTATGACATGCTTGAAAGTGGAATTAGATATAAAAGAGCTTTTGTTTGCATGTCTTGTCGTGACACTAATTTTAAGCATTCCTTATCAAATGAAGAGTGGAGGAGAGCAGAGGAAATGTGCATTTTTTTACAACCATTTGCAATGATTACTACTTTGATTTCTGGCACATCTTATCCAACTTCCAATATGTATTTTGGACAAATAGCAAAAGTTGAGATTTTGTTGAATGATGCCATTAGCAATCGTGATCCTGTGATTTCTAGTATGGCAATTAGAATGAAGGATAAATTTGACAAGTATTGGAGTGATTATAGTGTGATCCTTTCAATTGGAAGTGTTTTTGATCCACGAGCAAAGCTTGAAGCAATCAAGTATTCTTTCTCTTTGATTGATCCTGTGGATTACTACATGAAAGTTGATAATATCAAACAAAAGTTGTCTTATATCTTTGATCAATACAAAGAGATGGGTGGATCTTCCATTAATGTTACATCAAGTTCAACTCCAATACAAAGTCAACCAAGCTTAAGCACAAGTGGAAGGATGGTAGAGAAGAAGGAACCAACCATGTCTTGGATTCAACTTTATGGTGTAAGTTCTTATTTATCTAATACACATTATCTCATTACTATTGGTTTATAATCCCTTATTTGATACTTTTTGTTTTTTTTACATAGGATTTTCTTAATTTCAAGAGTAAGGATGTTTCTTCTGTTGGGAAATCTGAACTGGATTATTATTTGGAAGAAGCTTCTCTTGATGGTCACCAATTTCCAGAGTTGGACGTGTTGCATTGGTGGATGACTAATCAACAACGATTTCCCAATCTTTCAAAGATGGCATGCGATATTTTAAGTATTCCGATAACTACGGTAGCTAGTGAATCGGCTTTTAGTATTGGTTCTCGTGTTCTAACAAAGTATCGTTCTAGCCTCCTTCCAGATAATGTGCAAGCATTAATTTGTACTCGAAATTGGTTACATGGTTTTGTTCCACCATTATGTGGTAATTTTTGTTTTGTGAAATGTTGTCTTGTGATATATGTGATTGTGTATGTTTAATAATAACACAATTTTGTTCATTTTTATTGTAGGTGAGGAAGAAGTGGTTGCAGAGTATATTGATATTGAAGCCCCTCCACCTTTAACAAGTGGACCTACTTCTCAGAGTTCTAATGTTTTATTTGTAGATGATGAAGATGAGGAGGATTTATGTTTTGATTGATGAATATGTATTGTTTGGATTTTTAAATATGTTGTTTAATTTTTAAAAGATTGAGAGGACTTTAATTGTTTTCAATTTCTGAATATTTTAATTAATTTTTAATTTTAATTTTATTTTAATTTTTTAGATCAGGGCTTTTGGGCCCGGCCCTGAGCCCTGAACATAAGGGCCGGGCTTCAGAAAAGGGGTTGAAAATGAAGAACCGGGCTTAAGGGCCTAGGCCCTTAAGGGCCGGGCCCATAAGGGCCGAGCCTTAAGGGCCGGGCCCGCCCGTTTTCCCAGCTCTATTTGAGACCCCACTCTATTACGTGGATGAGTCACCAGCCAATATAATAGCCAGAGCTGTCAATTAGGGCCAGCCCGGCCCTAAAGGGCCGGCCCTTGAAGGGTCAGGGCCTAAACGGGCTGGCCCTAATAAGCCCGATTACATGTCAGGGTTCCATTTTTAAGGCCCGGCCCTAGCCCTCAGGGCTAAAGGGCCGGCCCTCAGGGCCTCGGCCCTATTTTTTTAAAATTATTTTTTTATTAAAAATTATAAAATATATATTTATAATTATAAAAAAAGTTATTATTCATAAAATTAAGTTTAAGAAAATAAATTTAAATAATTTACACCACAACAATAAAGAAAACTAAAATATTTAGGTCTAATATCAAACAGCAACATCAAAGTGAATACCAATAAAAATTAAACTTAACTAATATTATCATAATAAATAAATAAGGGATGGATGAATGCATTTAATATGTTCATTTCTTTGAATTATGTATTTAATCTTTTATTTTTTTATATTATAATTTTAAAAAAAATATAAACGGGCCTAAAAGGGCCGGCCCTTTATTTTCGGGCCTAAAAGGGTGGCCTTTTAGGCTCGATTTACATTTTTAAAGATAAAATGAAAGCCCGGCCCTCAATTTTTTCGGGCCTAAAAGGGCCGGCCCTACGGGCTCGGCCCTAATTGACGGCTCTAATAATAGCTTACTCCTCATTTGACTCAATTGTTCCTACACAATTAGATAAAGTTAACTAACAAGATATAAAATTGTCACACATAAGAATTATATCTTAAACTTCATCAATTGTTCCTACCATTGTTAATGAAGGCATGGTAAGATTGTCCCATTCCTCTCATGCAGTATTATTCTATTATTTAAGGTAAATGATGACATATATTCATAATTAGATCTACACAAAAAATAAGCAACATAAAATCTCTAAGCACTTAATAGGGAAATATATACATAATTACATGTACACTCCAATTTCATCTCTTTTACTCATGTCATCGATTGCTATTCCATAAGCATTACTTAATTCTAGATCATAATGTTATCAACAACTTCAAGTTTTAGTTTATTAATATTTCAACAAACCTGTTTTTTTGAGAATAAAAACAAAGTGAATGAGAAGCTTTCAGTAATAAAATTTTATATGACATTATATGGGAAAAGGCATACCATGAAGTTTACCATTTTTCCTTCTCTTTGGTAATAGAGCTTCCTTTGATTTCTTTATATTCTTCTTTTTCTTCTTTAGTTCTTTATCAGATGGTTGCATCAAGTCTAGCACATATATTATGGCTATTTTGGCTCCATAACATAGCAAAACCAGTGCAATGTAAATATTATGGGAAAAAAATGACATCACGATCTCCTATACTATACCTAATGTTAGTCAACATAAAGTCCTTCAAATGACTATCTAAGTCCCATATTTTTACTGGAAATTATAGTTCTTATAATGAAAAATTTAATACTTATAACTTATAAACACCTAATAAAAACAAAGAAATTAAACTATAAGACAAACTGCAAAATTTGGATAAAAAATTTGTCACTCACTAAACTACTGATCCATTATTTAGAACCTAAGCATTGCAGTCATATCTTGTCAGATAATACTATTTAATCTTCACAATTTTCCTGTAAAGAAAACAAAATTATATCAATCAATCACTTATGATCATATCAACTAGTAAGTTAAAGATCATACTTATGTCCTTCATTTGGTGGAATAGACTTTATACACTATTGGTAAACTTTTTTCTTTGTACATTGTTCTTTTTCTTCACGTCCTCTTTTTGCCTTCCCTCTATCATCCAAAAAAAGGTGAACGAATTGTCCTGACTATTTATCGTTATGACCTTCTTAGTGTCATTTCACCCTTACAATCTTGCTTTGTAATTTTCTATTCCGCTTCTTCTTCTTATGTATCAAATTCTCTCTCCTCTTTACTTTTATCTCCTTTTGGTTGTCCTTTCTCTTCTTCCTTTTCATCTTCTCTGGATCCCCCTTCCTCTTCATTTTCATTTACTTCTGCTTGTCCTTCCTCTTTTATCTTTTCATCTTCATTGGATCCTTTTCCTCTTCATTTTCATTTGCTTTTTCTTGTCCTCCCTCTTCTATCTTTTCATCTTCTTTGGATCCCCATTCCTCTTCCTTTTCATCTCCTGTCGATTCTCCTTCCTCTTTTTTGTCATCATGTTCCAACTCTTCCTCCTCTTCCTCTTCATCATCACGGTTTTGAACAACTTGCTCTCCTTTTTTTTACCTTGGAGTTGAGGAGTCTTTGTGTAATTCCACATGTAAAGTTCACAACATCTCTATATAGCTCTTTCATATCCTGCACCATATAAAATATCATATGTTTGAAATTACATAAAATATAACTTTGCTAATTAACAACCATTATTTTTCCCTTACCGAATCATAAAATAAACTCATTTCTAGAAGCTTTACTGAGAAGCTATCATGTCCTCGAGAAGGGTGATATAAAATGCCATGATCACTTGCCTTTCAAGTTGCACTAGGGCTATCACTCTCTCCTTTGTCCAATATTCTAAAGCATCTTCTTGCCATGGCACCTCAATTGACTCTAATGGAAACATTTTAAGGTAGAAAATCTGCATATTTACATCTATGTCATATAACCCACAGAATTTTGTTTAAAATAATTAATTTATAACAAATTATATCTTAATTCATTCACATATTGCAAGAAGAAATAAGCATCCTCCAATAGTTTTTTTATGCCTGTCCTTCTTCTCCCATGCTTCATATCAGCTACCTCTTTTCCAAGCTCAAATAGTATAAAAGATTACCAATCATAACATGTAGTTCCCAAATTTAATCTAGACATGACCTTCAAAAGTTTATCACTTATCTTGGAACTCAAATTTGGACAACAAAAATTCCCTAAGCAATAGGGAACAAGAGAAACTCTAATATATCATTTTTTTTTCTTGAAAGTTTCTTGTCTTTTATTACATTATAAGATGCTCTTTTAAAGTCCTTGTTAAGGACTTTAGCTTATTCTTATCCCCGTTGATATCAATCATCTCCCTATCATTAGGCAAGGTAAGTAAGGCATGAACTGCTTTGCCATTGATTACTTTCCTTGACCGTTAATGAAAAGGGATGATGTAGGAAGATCAAATGCCTTCATCACTTCCTCACATAAATCTTTGAACAACTTGTGACATTTAATAGTTAAAAGCCTACCAAAACCTATTCTATTAATCTCATCCTTCGAGGATTTTTACTTTTTGATATAATCAAAAACTTTCTTCATCTTTGTTGGAGAACACCTTGTCTCAAATAGAATCTGTCCAAGAAAAATAAGTTAGCACCATTACTTAAATTCATCACATTTTTCATGTTTGAGGTAAAAAAATAATGTATCTCGTAAGCTTTTACACTAGTATTTTCCTCCTTCGCTAGACGCTTATAGTGATCTTTTTCTTTCGACGACAACTTTTTCCATGCTGTAATTGCTTTTGTGTTTAGTTTTTTCAAATCATTTCCTTGAGTTGTATACTTGCTACAATATATTTGACAGGCTCTTAAAAACAAATCTCTTCATCAAATTAAATTGGCATCTCTGTCTCAAATTTACACATGATAATCCACACATTTTTCCTAGCAAATTTCGTTTAATAAATTTGATTATACAAAAGTTAGATAGGAGAAGGGAGAGAGAAGGCATCCTAGAAATTTGCTTGAGATATAATGTTTGCTTTTCTTTAGCTAGTTCATTTTGCAACCGAAGAATAAGTGACTGAGGTATTAGGTAAACAGACTCTATTGATGAAATTAAGGCTACTAAGCTAATCCACCTATCTTATTTCCAATAAATATGCAGGATAGGTGTTCATAAAGCAATGTGACTAAAACAACTTTGTCGCTAGTGAAATTTAGTTCACATCTTTATGATCAAAACTATTACCCTTCCTTAGAGAGTTTGTAAAAAATACGGAGGGTGCCATTCTTTGAATTATACAATTTTATAAATTATAAAATATAAGAGTGAAACTTCATTCGGTAACCATAAATGAAAGATGGCAAAAAGCTTCTTAGGATTTATGTTAATTTTATCAGTAAAGTAGACAATAGTAGAAAAGGCCAACGCTTTGAGTTCATCCTTTACACAAAGTAACTTGGACTTCAAGATTGATCAAAAAAATATCAGTGAGAAATGTTCATAAACATTAAGGCTTTTACACGGCAAGCATTTTGTTTCAAAGGAGAATACCGAATCCCAACAAATACCAACCACTAAAATTAAGCTAGTGCTATTTACAAGAGAGAGCATTTTGTTTCAAAGGAACCCAAAACCTTGAACTGGCAAAATCAGCAAGTGCTATTTTCCATTGCAATTTCAGCTTGAAAATTACTAATTTCTACCAGAAACAAACAATATCCAACATTATTGATTCAACTTTAGCTTTTAAGCTGACATTTCTCGTTGACGAAGTTTTTCCTATACTCACTAAAATTGAAAACTATAACATACTACAAGTTTTAGACTTTATAGATGAAAAGCCTTACCTTTGCAGCTGTGCAAAGAATAGGAGACCTTAAATGCGAGCAATGGCAGTTGGAGCTATAACAGAGAATGCGTTGGAACAATGACAGAGGGTGTGACAGAAATGGGACCACCATTAGAGCAGAATTCTCACCGACGATTGCGCAACTCTAGAGCTAATATAGAGAACCCAAGGAACTACAAAGAACACGGACAAGAAGTAGCTCGAGGGAGACGCCGAAACAAAGCAAATAGGGCTCTGGTGCGTGCCAGTATATATTTTTTTTCTCTCAAGGGCATTTTTGACAATTTAGATTTTTTTATCCCAATTTAGATTTCCATATTTTATGATCTCCAACTGACATTAATGTTTTTAGGGGGTCCTTAATTGTCATTTCCCTTCATTACCAACAAGACCAACCCATTTTGGTTGTGCAGTAGATTTAGAAAGTCCACCATTGTGTTCAACTTCACTAAACCAATTATTAACTAATAAAGGGTCAATTCTGGCCCTTTTTCATATGTATTTACATGAAGGTCTAATAAATATAAACTCATATAATTTTTTTAGTACTTCCTTTATTCCAAATTATAAGACATTTTTGGGAAAGATTTGACGTCTAAAAATATAAAATATTTAAGAAGATTAAAGTTTTATTAAATAATTTATTCTAATATTACCCCCCACTCTATTTAAGTTTCATCCCTTTCTCTTTTCAATATATTAATTATGAATATTTTTAAAAATTTATATTTTATTTTTAAAAAATAAAGTTGTCAAGTGTATTTAAAAAATTATTGTTATGTAAAATTTTGTCTAAAATGTCTTATAATTTAAGAAGAGGTAATATTAATCAGCATTATTTTCAATCAAAGGAAATGACTTAAAATTACATTTTTTGTCTTGAAATAAAAAAATTGAATTTATCCTTATTAAACATATCATCATTAAAAATGTTTTCTCTCCCATAATTAGTCTTTTATTCTGTTTATTAAAATTGTGAAAGAATACAATTAGAAGAAAATAATTAATGATTATTTTTTATTTTTTAAAAAATAACAATTTTTGTTGTTGTTATCCACATATATACTTCTAAATTTTATATATTTTTTAATTTAAAATATAAATAAAAAATAAAAATAAAACTATTAAATTTGGATCATCCAGATTAAATCTGAATAGTCCAGTTTCTTCTGCCTCAAAGGAGAGGCAGAGGAGGCTTCTCTCAAAGGAGAGAAGCCGACTCCATCCTTCTATTGGAGAAAATCCCTCAAAGCACTATTGTCAGGTAGCCATGGATTTAAGCATTGTTGAGGGTGGACAAATGTGCCCACTTAATTTGGAAAAATTTACAAAGAATGGCTGAAATTGTTAAAAATTTTCTCTTATTGTCCTAATAATTTTGAACCCATTAAACTTAAACTAAAAATATTTCAGTTAAAAAAATTGGGTCTTTTATATTTCACTTCAACTCAATAGATTTATATTTTGAATAAATTATATTTAAATTTAGATTATTTTTATAAAAATATTCATTTAATTTTTTTCTAATATGTAACATCCCAATTTAACTATTAGTTAATTTGAGATAAAAGAGATTTTGAAACATATTTAGAA